GTTTGCAGATTGGATAAAAAACTAAAACTGAATGGTATGCTGTGTACAAGAAATACATTTAATGCAAAAATCATAGACTAAAAATCGAAGGCTGGAAAACAATGTTCCACGCAATGACAGCCTGAAAATAAGTAGGTGTAGCTGTCCTATTTAGACAAACTAAACGTTGAGCTAAAACTGATCAGAAGAGGTAAGAAAGAAAGAAAGAAAGAAAGAGGAAGAAAAGAAAGAAAGAAAGAAAGAAAGAGGAAGAAAAGAAAGAAAGAAAGAAAAAAGAAAGAAAGAAAGAAAGAGAAAGAAGGAAGAATGAAGAAAGAAAGAAAGAAAGAAAGAAAGAAAGAAAGAAAGAAAGAAAGAAAAAAAAAGAAAGTAAAAGTCACTACATAATTCAATGGGAAGAGATAACAATTATAAATAAATATCCACCAAACACCAGTAGACCCAACTTTATAAAACAAACACTACTGGACATAAAAGATCAGATAACCCAATTATAATGGGGGGCGTCAATACCCCATTACCACAAATGGATCAACTAGACAAATAAGTCAATAGGAAATAGAATTCATATTTTCATATGACAGTTATAGAAGTTGTAGTGGACTCACAACTGGTGGTCAACTTGTAGCCCGCAGCTGAACTGAGTCAGCGTGGTGCTGGGTGTGGGGGCCCACCTGGGGCTTGTGCCAGCAGCATAAGAGGTGCCCTGGAGAAGGAAGAAGAGAGGCTTTGGGGAACTAAGGAGGCTGCTGGGAGCTGAGAGAGTCTGTGGGAGCTGGTAGAAGCTGTGAGGAGCTGTTGGTTCTGTTGGAGGAGCTCGTCATGCTGGCTTGCCTGATGAACTTGGCTGTTTTCATCCCCTAAGGAGCTCGGACCTCGTTGGCACTGAGAATGGCTTTGGTTCACTTCGGGGGAGCTCTGGGTTGGTTTTTTTGGTTTTTTTTTTTTTTTTTTTTTTTTTTTTTTTTGAGACAGGGTCTCACTATGCAGTTCAGGCTGGCCTTGAGCTCACTTTGTGAGCCCAGGCTGGCCTCGAACTCACAGCAATCCTCCTGCATCAGCCTCCCGAGTGCTGGGATTACAGGCATGCACCACCATACCTGGCAAATTTGTTTTGTTTTGTTTTGTTTTTTTGCGGTACCGGGGATTGAACTTACGACCTTGCATTTGCCAGGCAGGCACTTATGCCACTGAGCTGTAAGTGGCAGCCCTCGGGGGAGCTCTGGGCCTCACTCTGAGCATCGCTTCCTAGCTCTGGAGGGGAAGATGGTGCACTGCCTGTCTCCTGGAGAAGCTTGCTTCACTGACTTTTCTGATGGGAACTCAGCCATCTTGATCACTGGAGGAGCTCGGGACCTCACTGTTGCTGAGGATGATTGTGGTACCTTTTGGGGGAGCTCTGGTTCTTCTGAGCATCACTTCCTGGCTCCAGTGCAGATCCCTCAGCCTGCTAGCACAGATCCTTCATCCCGCTGGCACAGACTTTCTAGATTCCACCACTGAGCTTTGGGCCTTCCCAGCGCAGATCCGTGAGACAGGCCAGATGTTGCGGGCTCTGGGCCTCCAGGTGGACTCGGCTAGTTTCCTTGGTCTTAGCGTGTGGACAGATTTCCTGTACTCTCTTGTATATGATTCCTTGGGTGATTGTTATAAATAATCTTATAAAATATGTATCCTGTATTATATTGTTCCCCCTTGCAAAATAAGCCCAAACCAACACAGAAGTCTAATCCCATTCTGTCTTCTGTGCTAGTGCTGTATAATTTAGGACATGCTTTTACAGCTTTGGCTTTTAAATTCATCTGCAATGGTCACTTAATCAATGGGAATTCGGCAAGGCATAGGTTTAATGAATTTACCTCCAAGTCACTTTTACGTTTGCCCCTCTGAGATTCTTCTCTCTGTGTGTTATTTCTTATTTTTGGTGTCCTGAGTTATAAAGTAGCATGTGTTCAAACATCACAGCCACTTGAGAACAGGAGTTGGCTATTCTCATGAGAGTTTTGTCCTTGACCCAGAAATCAAGTCAAATCACACAAGCTTCACAGTTTCCCTGGGCTGAAAAGTTGACATTGTTCTGTTCCACTGCATGTGAGGGTTCTCTAGAGATGCAGAAGCAGTAGGCAGGATGGATGGGTGGAGAGATGGATAGATAGATAGGTGATACATAGATAGATGATACAGATAGGTAGATGACTGTTATAAATAATCTTACAAAATATGTGTCCTGTGTTACATTGTTCCCCCTTGCAAAATAAGCCCAAGCCAACAAGCTAGTTTACTGAGTCCACCAGTGAAAATGTTAATCTCATCCAGAAACACCCTTCTAGGCATACCCTGAAATAACGTTTGATCCGGGCTAGTTAATTTGGAACATAACATTAACTATCACGACTTTTCACTGATACAGAACTTTAAGGATCTTGTATTGATGTAGATTTTCAGCTCCCCAGGTACAAGACTGACCCCCTATGCACTTGGAGTTACAACCCAGAGCCCCAAGTCTGCCGCGCTCCCGCCGAGCACTACACCCCCAGCGTGGGCAAGGTAGTAACTGCTGTGCTGAGTGTTCCGGTTTTCTGGCTCTTCTTGCATTTGTTCGAGCTCCACAGTGCAAAGAATGACTATTCCATTTACCCAGAATCCCTCTGCGGTAATGTGGTCCTTTATAGAGTCAGAAAAGGAACATTCCACTGGGCATGGTAGTGCACGCCTGTCATCCCAGCACTCGGGAGGCTGAGGCAGGAGGATTGTTGCGAGTTCGAGACCAGCCTGGGATACAAAGTGAGCTCAAGACCAGCCTGCACTGCATAGTGAGACCCTGTCTCAAAAAGACAAAAAAAAAAAGAAAGAAAAGGACTATTCCTATTCACTTCTACTTTACTCTCATCAGACTTGGACTCTGCGATGTGACTGATGGTCTCCACCGAAGGCCACGTGTGACCGGGAGGGAACCACCCAATCCCCTGGCGTGGGATGTGTTCCGGCCACAAGTGGCCTAAACCACAAAGACGCTTGATTGTTCTAAGATAGGTGTTCCCAGAATCAGTTGGTCACCTCAATTCTAGTGAGGACCCAAGTTTTCTTCCTCTCCTTCCACTCTGCAGTTTCTTTTTGTTGTTGTTGTTACCAGGAATCGAACTGAGGACCTTTCGCTTGCCAGGCAGGCGTCTATGACACTGAGCTATATCCCCAGCCTATACAATTTGATTCTTTTTTTTGTACCGGGAATCGAACTCAGGACCTTACGCTTGCTAGGCAGGCCCTTGTGCCGCTGAGCTACATCCCTGGCTGCAGTTTCAATAAGCCAGTGGCGTTTTCCACTTCGTGGTTCCGTGGCTGCGTTCCACAACTGCCTCAAGGCAGCAAAAGGAGGCAAGCAAAGCAAGACTTCTTACAGGCCTCTGATCCGACAGGAAAATCTTCCCGGAAGCTCAGCCGGGTGACTCTTCCACCCCTCTGCGCTTGCTTGCCTACCCCTGCAGCGATACTGCGCAGAGGGGAGGACGGGGTCCTCTCTGAGGCCGCGGGGACAGTAATGGGTTTTTTTCCGCACGGAATCTGCACGACAGAAGTGCATAAGGCAAGATCCCCGTCCCTGAGTAGTCCATTTTCTACAGGAGGCGACTTCATAGTCACACAAGCTCAGGGGTGAAAAGCAAGAAACCCTCTGTTCCTCTGCACCCGGACCTGGTTTCACCCACAGGACGTCGTATTTCACGCGCGTGTGACGTTTGGCACGAGCGGTCAGCCGACCGTGTCTGCACGGACCCCTCCTCCGTTCTCATACAGGATGGAGGGGCACACAGCTTCTGGTTTGGAACGACTTCCTCCTCCCAGGGCCGGTGCACGCGGCTGCTGTCTTCATCCTCCTTTGCTCCGACAAGTCCCCAGAGGGACAGCAGATCACACTCTGTCTTCAGGAAGCGGTCCGCGTGATGCGTCCACGGTATTCTGGTGAGTATGAGTTAGGATCACTCCTGGGGAGAAAGTAACAAGAGAAAAGTGTCTAATTTGATTCGCTGTAAATGTGAAGCCGCGCAAGAGGCTTTATTTGGAGGTGACTAACTTAAGTCTCCCGTATTGACCAGGGTGGGGTGGAGGGAGTATATTGACCGGGAGAGTGCAAGGAGCAGCTCGGGAGTGAAGAGCACAGCATTTACACTTGCACGTCTGCGTGTGTGACTCCGGAATTTGCATCTCTAAGCCGGGCTTCGGAGACACTTCATCCTGCTCCACACGTTTCCGCGGCAACTCCTCGCCCCCTTTTCACCTTTCTTCAGGGCCCAGCGCAACCTGCAACATAGTGGTGCCCCCCAAAAACGCTTGTTTACTGAAAGAGGGAACGAACGCAGGAGGGTGGGGAGAAGTTACTACAGTGGGAGGGAGCCGCTCTAGCAGATTTTCACACCAAAGCTGTTTAACTGTACCCTAAGGAAGGGGAGAGAGTCCAGCAGTTAAAATGTTAATGGCAGTACGCCAAGCCAGCCGGACAGACAGACAGCCGGATGGACAGACAGCCAGAGACCCCCAGAGAGACCTCTGCAACAGCAAAGGCGTGATGGCCAGCAAGAGGCAGCCGAACCGCAGCCCCAGGTGGGCCCCGCCTGGCTTTCCAGGGCTGGAAGGGGCGTCCGCGGCCGGTGCCCCTCCGCGCTCCGCGGCCTCCCGCGCCCACGCGCACTGCCCCGCCCGGGAAGAGGGACCGAGCCGGGCTCCGCAGACCGGGCGGGAGGGCGCGAGCTCCGACGCCCTGCAGCCCCGGAGCCGCGGCCCGGCCCTCGAGCGATGCACAAAGGCTGGAATTCCGGGGGCTGGCGGGGCTCCAGGTCGCAGGAGCCGGGGAGAGGGGCGAGGCGGGCTGCCTGCTCGTGGGATCGCAGCGCCGCGGGGCCCCGGGTCCGCCGCGCACCCTCCCTGGAGCGGAGGCAGGCAGCGCGCGGGGGGCGGAGACCGGCGGGTCCGCCTCGTCACGTGACGGGGCCTTGTCACGTGACGCCCCGCCGATGCTGCAGGCGGCATGTGACTCCCAGGGCTACGTGGGCTGCACCGCAATTTAAATACAAACACTCGGGCCGGCTCCCCCCTGCTCCGCCCGCTGGTCTGGCTCTTCCTCCCTCGGGGTTGGTGAGCGCGGGTACCCGCAGCCCGCGCCCCTCCGCGGGACGCCCCGGGAGCCGGGCCCCGGCGTCCTGCCGCCCGCGGATTTCCCACCCTGGTAAGTGCGGGACACCCGGAGCAATTTTCGGTGACGCCGCCCTCGACCGCCTCGTTGGCATGCGCAGGGCACCGGCTGTGCGCGCTGCCCTGGGCCCGGCCCGGCGACGCATCCCGGGGCTGGGCGCCGGCCGGAGTTCCGCGGGTGCGGGGACCTCCGCCCCGGGCCGCCTTCGCGGGCCTCTCGTGCCGGCCCTGCCCTCCCCCGCCGCCCGGGAGGGCCCGCGCCTGCTCCCGCCCTGCCCGCGTCCTTCGCATTTTCCCTTTCCACCCCCGCCGCCTCCTCTCCCCCCGCTGTTTCTCTTAGTTCTTCCTCCCCTCACTTTTTAAAATTCATCTTTTGCTACCTGCTGTAAATGTTCTCTTCTTCCTGCCCAGGAACGGAACAGTAAGCTTCTGTGCACCTGGTGATTGGAAAATGTAGTCACTGACCCCCCTACATTTTTTCCCCTTCACTAAGACGGTGTCTGCTGCCCAGTTCTTCTCCTTCGTATGTGCGTGCGCCCAGGCGTTAAGGGAAATGGATGCGCGTCTTCGGGGCCCTCGGAACTGCTTCTCGGGAGTTGTCGGTGGGAGCCAGGTGCGGCTCAGCTAGGGGTCACCCGACGTAGGAGGGAAGGCACAGCCACAGCCCAGGGTCTGTGACCCCAAACATTCGACTCTCAGTAGGAGAAATCAGACCCGAAAGCTGCAGCCGGAGTCAGGTGGCAAAAGGCCCCTCTGCACGCTGGCTGGGAGTCTGAGGCCACGGCTTTGCTGGGTGAGGCAGAGTCCCTATAAATCCCATCAAGATGGAGTCGTAGCCACCAAGGAAGACACGATGGCTACGTCAGAAGCTTCTGGGTCACTGTCAGGCGGCCTGCAAGAAGCAGTTAACAGTCAGAGGGCACAGTCTACCTGACAACTCCAGGAAAGGGCGCTATTTTAACCCCACTTTAGAGACGGTGAAACTGAGGCACAGAGAAATTAGTTGACTTGCTTGAGGTCACTCAGCTAGTAAGTGACAGAGCAAGGATTGGGGCCCAGGGAGTTTCCTCCAGAACCTGCGCAGTCAACCACTGCGGCAGCCGGTTTCACAAAATGATAATCGAGCAGCTGCTACCTGACAGGTGCTGTGAGGGATTACATCTGTGAGCCTTTCAGATGCACGCTGTTCTCACAGAGTTTACAGGTCAGCGGCAGTGGTGGGTGTTACACAAACCCTGGCACCAGACAACGCCTTGTCTCAAGTCAGGGCGTCTGCTAAGAAGGAAAATAAGGGGGTCCCTGGAGAATATGCTGCACAGAAGTGAAGGTGGACTGCAGCCGGGGAGACTAAGGGAGGAGGCTCAGTCAAACGGGGCCTTTCTGAGGAAGAGATGTTTAGACTGGGCTCTGAAAAGCCAGGCGTGGTGGTACACGCCTGTAATCCCAGCACTCGGGAGGCTGAGGCAGGAGGATTGTTGTGAGTTTGAGACCAGCCTGAGCTACAAAGTGAGCTCAAGGCCAGCTTGCACTGCATAGCAAGACCCAGTCTCAAAAAAAGACAAAAAAAAAAAAAAAAAGGTTGGGCTCTGAGAGAGAAGTAGAGCCACACAGGCAGAGTCAGAGAGAACTTTCTAGACAGAGGAAATAGCATGGCCTAGAAGGGAAGGAGATGAGATTCCCGGGGGAGCAACCAGATTTCTTGCAGACTGAGCAAGATGTGCGAGTGAGGCGGGCCAGGTGAGGCTGTCCGGATCTCAGGGGGCCCTGTGGGCATCATCCCAGGATCTGTGAGCACCATGACAGTATTTTAAGCAGGGAAGCAGCAGAATTAGATTTGCAGTATGTAAAACTTCCTTAACAAGTGCCTCTGTTTGTTTGTTTTTTGAGACAGGATCGGGCTGTGTAGTGCAGTTGGCCTTGAACTCACTGTGCAGCCCAGTCTGGCCTTGAACTTGTGGCAATCCTCCTGCCTCAGCCTCTTAAGTAGATTACAAGTGTGCAGCACCACTCCCAACGCAAGCCCTTGTCATGTGTCAACCTGCCTGTTTTGCTAGGGCCCCTTTGACCTGGACAAGCTGTGTGATCAAGCCCAGATTCATGAGCGGTCTCGAGTGAAGAAATACACCTCTTGTTGAGGGGAAAGCTGCAAAAACACTGTTATTTCCAGACTTACTGCTTGAATTCAAAAGGATAAGCTGGAGTCTGTCTCCCTCTACTCTTGGGAGGAACCTAGAGCCAAGAGCCAGCTTTGCGATTAGAGACAAACGTATCTCTAGACATGCACCCGATTCTGCTTGCTGTTCAGAACAAGCAGGGACCTGGGTGTCTGACATGGACGTGAATCGCGAGAGTGTCTAGGAGAAGGTGGGTGTGGTGCAGCAAGGCCTCGTCTTCTCGCAGGGTTGTTTGGGGCTGTCCTGGAGTCCAGGGAGACTTTGAGATTGTTACCCCGTTAGGAAACTGGATCCACACGGAGCTCGGTCCTTAGGCAAGGAAAGTAACGGCACGTGTGCAAGCCCGAGGCAGGTACCGTGTGACTTTCTGGAACAGAAGGGAAGCGGTGTAGCTCAGTGTAACTGCCGAGGCAGTGGAAGGAAAATGCACAGATTGGGAAAAAGTGTCCGAGGTAGAAACAAAAAGTCTTGCTAATGGATTAGATACAGGAATTGAAGACAGGCACATGTTAAAGATGACCCCTACCATGGTGATACCCTTTACTAAAGTGAAAAGACGAGTGTAGGGTCAGAGCATTCAGGGGTAAAAGGGCAGAGGGAGCCAGGTGTGGGAGTGCACATTTATAATGCCAGCACTCAGGAGGCTGAGGCAGGAGGATCACTGTGAGTTCAAGGCCAGCCAAGTTTACATAATGAGTTCAAGGCCAGCCGGAACTGCACGGTGGGACATTGTCTCAAAAACTAGAGGGAGCTGGGCCCTGCAGTCCTGTACCCTTCTTGCTCACACCCCAGCGCTAGACTTCAAGCCCAGGAGATGCAGGCTGCTCTCAGGTTGAATTTTCACTGCATAAATTCTCCACAGAGTGAAGCAAGCCCAGGGTCTGAGAGGTTTACAAGGCAACGCAATCAGCGCCTCAGGGTGAGTTCCAGGCTCCATCCAGTGATAGAGAATGTGGGGGGGGGCATCGCTGGGGGGTTGACTAGGAGAGCAGCCGCATTCTCCTTTGAGGTGGCCCAGCAACAGATCCGCTGGGCGCTTTCTAGAAATGCAGCCTGTCAGCCCCCCCCCCCCAACACAACCCTCTGGACCTAAATCAGCACTTTAACAAGATCGTTTGCAGGGCACGGTAGCACACGCCTGTAATCCCAGCACTCAGGAGGCTGAGGCAGGAGGATCGTTGCAAGTTCAAAACCAGCCTGGGCTACAAAGTGAGCTCAAGGCCAGCCTGAACTGCACAGCGAGACCCTGTCTCAAAAAGACAAAATCAAACAAACGGATGGGAGACCAGGATTCCTCCACCTTGTACCATTCTCTTCTTCCTCTCGCCCTCTATCCATCCTCCTCTTTCTTTCTATTTCCAAAGCTGGGGGTTGAACCAAGGGCTTCACTGCGAGCTACATTTTCAGACCTTTATTTTGTAACAAGTTCTCAGAAAATTGCTCGGGCTGTGCTCAAATTTGTGATTCCTCCTGCCTCAGCTTCCCCGGCATTACAGGCATGTGCCAACAGTCCTGGTGTTCCATTAACTTTATTTTATTTTATTTTATTTTATTTTTTGTCTTTGAGACAGGGTCTCGCTCTGCAGTTCAGGCTGGTCTTGAGCTCACTTTGTAGCCCAGGCTGGTCTTGCACTCACAGTGATCCTCCTGCCTCAGCCTCCCAAGCTCTGGGATTACAGGTGTGCACTGGCACACCCGGCTTCCATTAACTTTAAATATTTTTGGGGGGTTTTTTTTGGTGCTGTGGGGATAGAACCCAGAGCCTTATTCATAGTACACAGGTGATCAAGCTCCGAGCTACACTGTCAGCCTTAAGGAGCCCCTTTTAAACCTAAATACTATATAATCTCCACATTTCCCCCTAGATCAAGAATAAATCCTTATCATGAAATATTTAGTTAGTGTTCACATATTGGCAATTGTTTTATAATTTGTAGTTTAAGTCTTTAAACAAGGTCTATACAACTGGTAGTTAATTAGTTAATTAAAGGCAATTGGTTAATCTGGCTCTTACATTTTTGTAATTTATTGCTTTCTTTCTTCATTTTTTTCTTGTAATTTTGTGCTAAAGAAACTAAATTGGGCCAGGGGTATAGCTCAGCACAGTGCCTGCTCGGCAAACACAAAGTCCTGAGTTCGATTCCCAGTACGCAAAAAAAAAAGAAACAAAATCATTTGTCCTCGAGTTCCCAAAGTCTAGATTTGCTGATTTCTTACTCGTGGTGTCATTTGATACATTCGCCTGTCCCTTTGTATTTTCTGTAACCGAGTGATTACGCCTCCCGGGAATTGCTTTTGGCAGAACCTTTTAAACGAGCTGTAATACATACGAAGTACGCACAAGTATAGAAGTATCTGTAGAAGGAGCCAGACCGTGTTACGCCACCCGGTATCTCAGAAGCTCTCCCACAGCCGCTTTCACTTTCCCAGGTTGCTGTTCTCCTGACTTTTACAATAGTAATTCCTCTGCCTTCTTTACAGTGTTATCACACACATGTACATTTCTAAGCAAGGTGCTGTATAGTCAGTATACTGCTGTTTAACTTTTGTGTTGTAAGTGTAATTGTGCCCCAGGTTTGTTTTTTTTTTTTTTGCCTTTTTGAGACAGGGTTTCCCTGTGCAGCTCAGGCTGACCTTGAACTCACTTTGTAGCCCAGGCGGGCCTCAAACTCACAGTGATCCTCCTGCCTCAGCCTCCCGAGAGCTGGGTTTATAGGTGTGCACCACCACGCCCGGCCATCACCAGGTATTCTTCTGTGACTTCTTTTGTTCTTTTACTTTTGAAGTTCCCCTGTGTTTATGTAGCTAGTAGCCCATCCATGTCCACCAATACATGTTAACTCACTGCGTGCACACGCTA